ATTCCACTTCTTTGCTCAAAAATCTAAAAGGATTTCCTACTGCCTGTGGGATTAAAAAAAATCAAATGTCTTCAGCCTTTCAGGCCATTTGTAATTGGATCTCATCTAAGCATGACCCTCCAAATTCCTCATTCTTCCAATCATGAATGTACCATTGATGGTCTCTGCTGACTGTTGTTTCATGGTTCTTCGTTCATGCTTTGCTCATACCCCCATCCAGACTCCTGCTCCTACTGTGTTCCCTCCCTAGACTATCCCTTGACTCCTGGCCAGTTCTTGCCCTTGCACATGCTTAAGAGACTCTTAAGGTGCCTTTTTAAAATGCAGGGTTCTCGGTTCCACCTCACCCCCCAGAGATTCATAGGTTTGGGTTGTGGCCCAGGAAGCTGAGGTTTAACAAGCTCTCTGGAAAATTCTGAGGCAGGTGTCTATAGGGCACAGGGCTGTGAGCAGTCCTATGGGCAGCAAATTTCCTTCTTAGAGTCTTGCTCCACTTCTTTCTTTTGTCTATTTGCATACACTGATTCACATTTCCTTTACTGTTCATATTTCACTCTTGCCAAAATTCTCAACTAGGCATTTTCTTGTTTTCTAATCATCTACCTCCATCAGAGATCAGATCCTTTTTCTCTGTTGATTAAAACCTGCCCAGGGCTTCCCATCACATTAGAACAAAATCAAGGCCCCTTATCCTTGACTCCAGGCCTCTGCCTCTCTCTCTGAAATTCTCTGTCCTGTCCCCTCACTTCCTCTGCCCCAGCCACATTGACTTTCTTTCCATTCCTTGCATACATTCAACGTTTGTTTAGCCTTTGCACTAGGTGTTCCCTCTGTTGAGATGCTATTCTTACAGATCGTCTTGACTGTCTCCTTCTGGACACTCAGGTCTCAGCTTCACCTTGACACTTCTCTGACTCTCACCTGAAGCAGTCCTCCCCCAGGTCACTCTGGGTCACATAACCACGTTCTATTTCCCAAAGAGCCCCTATCATCATAGGAAACATTCTTGTTTACTTATTTACTTGTTTGGGGCTTGTTCCCTCGCTGGAATACAGGTTCCAGTGGAGCAAGACCTTTACCTGTTTCATTACCCAAAGAATTCTAGAATGAGCATATAACTAGGAGTTCAATAAGATTGTTCTTTTCAGAAGCATCGAACAGACTGTCAAACTTCAGCGGGAAGGTAGGGGAGGCTTGGGGGGGGGCGGTAAGAGATCAACCAAATGACTTGTATGCATGCATATAAGCATAACCAATAGACACAGACACTAGTGGGGCTGGGGGGGGGGAGGGCAATGCTGGGGGAAGGTGTGGTGGGGAAGGCCGGGGGAGGTCAATAGGGGAAAAAGGAGAGAGATGTTCTACTATTTGTAGTACTGTACGAAGAATGAAAGAAAGAAAGAAAGAAAGAAAGAAAGAAAGAAAGAAAGAAAGAAAGAAAGAGTTCTTTTCTTCCTGTAACAATGGAAAAGGTATTCTTTCTGCTGACAGTCAACTCCTCTTCCTGTGTTCATGATCACCTTCCATCCCCTCTTGCCTTTGGAAGGACTTTACTTCTGCAGATGTCCCTGACTTGCATCATTGCATTTATACCACTTGTTGGCTCAAGCCCATCAGCAGTTAAACATGCCCTAGGACGTCTTCTATTTTGGGAAGGGGGACTTCTCATGACACTGTGGAGCTGCATTTTTCTGCCCTTCTTCTCATCATTCTCAGCAAAACTCATTGACTACTTGCTCACATGACGTTATCTCCTTAACCCACTCCAGACGGGCTTCTTCCCCCCCCAATCTCCAAAAGCTGCTCCCAGCAAAGTTACTACTGCCCTCCATGCTGGCAAATCCAGTGGTCATTTTTCTATTCTTGTCTTTCTCAGTCTTTTAGCAAAAGCTGAATACTTCCAGCCCCTTAAACAGCCCCATTCCCGTTTTCCAAGACAAGACACTGTGTTTTCTGTACCTCCCTGGCTGCTCTTGTTCCTTTTTGCTCTATCTCTAAATATTCCAGGGTCTGGAGGCTCAACGCTTTTTTCTTCCTAAGAGATCTCATCCAGTCTCATGGTTTTAAATACTATTTATATATTAATGACTCATTATCTATAGTCCTGACCTATCTCCTAAGTGGCAAATTTGTACATCCAACTACCTACCTGGCATCTCCATTTGGAGACCTAGTAAATATGTTAAATATACCAAATCTAAAGTGGAATCAATTTTGTTCCTACAGCACCCTAACACACACACACACACACACACACACACACACACACACCAAAAGCAAAAAAAATTGGTTCTTTCCCATCTTAGTACATGGTATTACCATCAACCCAGTAGCTCAAGTGAAAAGCCTGGAAGTTATTACTAAATCCTCTCATTTTCTTGTGTAACAAAAAGTCTTAATTCTATTTTTTAAATACATGCCGAATTTCATCCACTTCTCACTATCTCTCTGTGGTGTAAGCCTCACTTTTCTGTCTGAACTACTATAACAGCCTCCAGACTGCGCTCTTCGCTCCTGAAAGTAAAAGTTCAGTCCATTCTCCACCCAATTGCCAGACTATTCTTTTTAAAAAGTAAATCAGACCACGTGACTCTCCTGTTTGAACTCTCCAAGGATTCGACTCAGGATCACGTCCAGACATCTTCCTGTGGCCTGAAGAGCCCCCTGTGATCCATCCTTTCAGAGCCTTCTCACTGGATCTCATGCCACTCTGTTCTGATCACTGCATTCCAGCCACACTTGCCTTTCATCTATCTTTTTGTAAAATATATTTTATTGATTTTTTACAGAGAGGAAGGGAGAGGGATAGAGAGTTAGAAACATCAATGAGAGAGAAACATCAATCAGCTGCTTCCTGCACACTCCCTACTGGGGATGTGCCCGCAACCAAGGTACATGCCCTTGACCGGAATCAAACCTGGGACCCTTCAGTCTGCAGGCCGGTGCTCTATCCACTGAGCGAAACTAGTCAGGGCATCCTTTTGTCCATCCTAAAGTGTAGCAAATCCATCCCTGCTGTAGGCCTCTGTCTTAAAATGTGGTTGTTCATTGATGCGTCTCCTGTGCTGAGGACAGTGCCTTGGTTAATATTCATAACCATCATTCAAAAATGATCAAGTAGCCAGTGTTAAGGCATTTGACTATAATAATTTGCAATGATAATTTATCCTACCTGTTTTCCGACTGAATTTTTGGTTTTATTTTTATTATCCTCTACAGTTATTCTTCATTAATTTCAAATGGATTTCTAAGCCATTCTAGGTAAATCCCCTTGGATCCAAATAAAAAGTTCAATGTATCTTGGTTCTGTAGAAACTGCTTCTCCTCGTTAGTTTTCACCATGGTTTAAGGGATGTCTATGTCAATGTCTTGCCACTATCTTCTATTTTAGGTCCAGTCATGAGCGACTCTGATTTTTATTCTGGGTTTTAGGAAGATACCTGCAGGATTAAGAAAATTTGTATTACTTAATGATTCATTGACTAACCTTCCCTTTTCTGATATGGAACAGAACATGATTGCTGGAAATTCTGTCTCTGATCGGGGATTTTGGCACTTTCATGACTAATGAGAGTTAGTGTCTCCCAAAAGAGAAAGAGTCCCCAATTGTCCTTATTGGGATAAAAATTTCCCACATTTCCCACTATTTTCCATCTGGGAAGTGTTATTCTAATCTCCTTTCACTCCAGAAGGTCATGATATAAAGTACCTTTCTGCTTTTAATACTTCAAAACCTCACACCATATCGTTGCTGCTGATTAAATCGTGTGGACTTACATTGGCTTTCCAACTGGTAGCGAGTTATTTGGTATTGTCCTTATTTAAATTGGATAATTGCAGGTTAAATCACTTGCTTGGAGTCCATTGGCACAAGTAATGTCATGGTCATGAAGTAGGTCAAACCCTGTCTTTTCCTAGAAAGTCTTGCTGTTTGGCACAGGCCTGCACTCGGAAACATTTGCAGGTGTTAATAGAGGAAACTAAAGCAATTCAGGGAAGAAACAGAAGGAGACCTACAGTGAGGTCTGGGTCCCAACAATGATGGCTATTCTTAACCCAGGCTCTCTGACTTCTCCGACGGAAGTGTTGGGCTGCAAAAAGGCTGGGTCTGGCTACAGCCTTGGGAGCTCTGTTTGCCTTTGTGTCAGTCCATAATTTTTCTTTGACTTTCGCCTGTATCTGTCTCAGACTCATTTGAAAAAAATAATTAATAAATTTCATGTTCAAATATACTGCCATTCTGGAGTTAAAAGTTTTCCAGGCATATACTCAAGTACGTGGGTATCACAGATTCTTAATCTATCTCCTAGGACAAAATTTGCTTCATCATTAATATTATTATTATTTAACTAACAGGAACTGACTTGAAATGACTAATTCCTTTTATCTAGTACCGTTCAGGAAGAAATTACTGAGCTCTCTTAGAGAGCATGTTATTCCACTAGGCTAATGGAATACAATCATAAAGAATAATAAACATTTTTTATTGGTAGGACCTAAAGTTTTAATCTCTAAGATAGTAATATGAATTCATTAAAGTAATGTTAGAGAATCAAACATGTGCTTAGCATATAAGGTCTCTGATGTACTTGAGTTTCCGTTGCTATCCTGGAAAACTTTTTATTTGTAAGGTTTTCGTTTTTATTTATGAGGTTGAAAGAATATAAAACTACTCCAGGGTATATATGGAATTTTATAAAAAAATGATTTTCTCCATCTCTTCCTAAAATCTCTAAAGTCTAGCCTAAAATGTCTTTGAACTTCTGAGCTTATTTCTTTGTGTATGCACCCCTAACTGCAAGATATGCTGTTGTTGTTTTGTGCCAGAAATTTTTGGCCCATTTTAGGTTTACTTTCTAAAGATTAAAGTCATCAGTATATTGGTGACAAAGCAGATGCAGAGTGCAAGTTTTAGCCTCTCTTACTTTGATATTCCTGTGGTTTTGTCTCTAGGTCAGTGTAAGTTCCTGCCAAGCTATCCTTATGCTAAGCCTAAAGTTAGGAGTGATCAGTCTGAGTTTGCTGTGGGGACACATTTGCAATATGAATGCCTTCCTGGGTATATCAAAAGGTCATTCTTAATCACCTGTCTAGAGACCTCCCGGTGGTCAGATCCTCAGCTAAACTGTAAACGTGAGTATTCTATAAAAGAGGCATGTTTGGGTCTATTAGTGAATCTCTGTGAGCTAACCTGTTATTTTTCACAGTAAATAACCAGCGAATTAGTAAGTCCTCTTAATGAAGAGGATCCTGGGTTCTGCATGTTTTCTTTTACTCCTAAGGGCATTGAGTGTTGAGGTTAAATCATCACAGTGGGCCAACCCTGCTTACCTGTAATCTCCATGAACTTGCTCTATGCTCTCTGTACTGTGTTAGAGTGAGTTATGCTTACCTGTAATCTCCATGAACTTGCTCTATGCTCTATGTATGTACTGTGTTAGAGTGAGTTGTAAGTTAGTATGCAAGGAATATTAGTTTCACTTCATTCTTACCCCATTTATTCAAGAGATATTTTTGAGTAAAAGGTATGAAGCTTTAGGCTAGGTGATAGGGCTGGAGAGAACCAGCCCTATCACTTAGGTCTACCAGTCCTTTCCTGTGAAGAATTCCTTTTTGAGTTGTAAAGACTGACTTTAAACAAATACTATACTATGATGTGATTTCACTCATTCATAGAAATAAATTTATATGGGATCATAGAGAAGTAAATAAGAAATGCGGTCTAGATGAATTAGGGAAATTCAGGCATTACAGGTTGAGGAAACAGCATATGCGAAAGCACCAATATATGAAAGAACATGATACCTGTGGAAAATAGAAAAATTCAGGTGGTTGCAGTACGAGGTGCGTGGTGAGGAATAGTAGTTGATTAAATGGATTGGAGCTTAACTGTGACAGTCCATGATTTTTTTTCCCGATCAACAATGGTAAGACATTGTAAGTTTTTAAATGTAGGTAGTGGCATGACCGCATTTGTGCTTCTGAAAGATCATGTGTGTAGTGGTAGATGTGCATAGAAGATGGAGACCAAGAGCCACCAGAGTTAGAAAGGGAAATATTGTTACTCAATCATCCAATGAGAGATTAAAGCAGCAATAACATCGTTGGTTTGGAGAGTTTTGGAATTCAGTCACTAAAATTTGGTGACCAAATGAATGAAGGACAGGGCATAAAGAATGAGTTACAGAAAGGAAATGGTGACTGTACGTGTGCTTTTTTTAAGCCACAAGGCTTGGTAAATGATGCCATCACCTGACAGAATATAAAAAGGGGAAAGAGAGATTATAATTATGGTTGACCACAAATTATGTTTGCATGCACACTCAAAATATAGACTATGTGCTTTAAACAAATACGGTTCTGGAGTTGACTATTCCCTTGGGAGATAGAAATTTTGTAAATGTCAAAAATGTCTTTGAATAAATAAGCTAGTCAGCAAGTCCAGTCAGGTTGGGATTTAATATAAAACACAAAAGGTCCCTCAAATTCCAGTCCCAAATCCTGTTGTTTTGTTTTCCCCTGTAGGTAAATCATGTGTGAGTCCTGGAGAACTCCTCTATGGCTCTGTCCACACACCCATGGGTATCGTGTTTGAGTCAACAATTACATTTTCTTGTAATGAAGGGTGAGTTGGCAGGAGAGATCTCCAGGGCACAGGGGTTTTACAGCAGCCTTCCAAGAGAGATCTGAGTAATTGCCACCTACTCTTCAAAATAGATAAGCAAAAAAAGAATCACCTACCTGAACTGCTCTGTAGACTACCTTTCAGGATTATCCACTGGAGAGGATCCCTAGAAAACAAAAAGGCACTTGGGCTACTCCCCCGTCTTCCCTCTTCCAATTTTAAATCTCTAGCTTTAAACTTTTATTTGGCTTAAGATTCTTTAGCCTTTGGTATGAGTCCTTAGTCTATTACTGCTATTTGTCATACACGGTTTTCCATATTTTTGCCATTCTTTCAGTGGACAAAGAACTAAGCTTTCCTAAAATGTACATGTAGCGGGGAGATGATCACTCATCTCTTTGTCTTTAGATATCGACTCATTGGTGAATCATCTGCTACATGTGTTATCTCACACAGCAATGTTGTAACCTGGAATAGGGACATGCCTGTTTGTGAATGTGAGTAAAATGATCCCTGTATTGCACCCTATGTAATTCTGCTTATATCCTTCTAGAGGGAAATTAGGCATCTACATATCAAAATGAGTACCCAGCAAAGTTATAGTTGGTTTGGGAAGTTCTGGGCACAGAGGTGTGGTTTGTTTACATTCTTCTACTCCCTCCTATTCCTACCGCACTTTCCCTTGATGATAAGTTATTTTATAGTGAATAAGGGTTTAAATCTAAAATATGCTATGAGATTACAGACTGCCAAGTTTATACCATGCAAAATGTAGGTCATCCCAGGTGCCTCCTACAACAGTTTATCTATATTCTGGGGATGGGCTCTACTGACCAGATCATAGGTTTGTGTGTGTGTGTGTGTGTGTGTGTGTGTGTGTGTGTGTTTTGTGTGTGTGTGTTTTTGTGTGTGTGGGGTGGTTTTTTTTTGAGGTTTCATCAGGGAAGATTCATGCATCTTCCTACCCTGCTCCTCCTATTTATAACCATCTTTGAGATAAGAAAACATAATTTCAATAAAATGGGTTAATTGTAGGTTGAATTAGAGTTCATTTTGCAAGACTGAAGACAAAATTCCTAGAAGATATAACATTAAAATGTTTTCTTTCTTTTCCCACCTAACCCCAAAAAGCTATTCCTTGTAAGTCACCCCCAGCCATCTCCAATGGGGCATTTGATGGCAGCAGTACAGATAACTTTTACTATGGAATGGTGGTGACTTATAGGTGCCATGTTGGACCGGATGGGAAAAAGCTCTTTGACCTCGTGGGTGAGAAGTCAATATCTTGCACCAGCAAAGACAATCAAGTTGGCATCTGGAGCGGCCCTCCTCCTCAGTGTATTAAGTTAGTCAAATGCCCATTTCCAAAAGTTGAAAATGGAATTATGGAATCTGGATTTAGTCGTTCATTTTCCTTAAATGATACTGTGATGTTTAAGTGTAAGCCTGGCTTTACCATGAAAGGCAGCAACAAGGCATGGTGCCAACCAAACAATAAATGGGATCCTCCACTGCCACATTGCTTGAAGGGTGAGTTGGGCTGAAAATTCGGTGATCTATAAGTGAAATGAGACCTTTGATTGAATAGATAGCATGGTGCCTATGAGAAGAGGAGGAGAAAGATAGTAGAGGTGGTTGGGTATCCTTGTTAAAGAATTTGAAAGTAACATCTTAATGTTGAAGAGGTAGGAAATTTACCATATTTTGGAATAGTGCAGGGGAATTTAGATGCTTAAAGGGGGAAAAAAGGGAGATAGAGCAGAGCCAAGGATCAGAGATTTTTCTAAAACATGATTACATTTTATTTAAATTGGGATAAATAAATTCTCAATCTTATTGGCCATGAGGTTGGGGGAAGTTTGCTAATGTCAGTATTTGATTCAAAAGACTGTAGACATTATACATGCTCATGTTGAATAATGTAGCCTTTATGCAATGAGGTTAGAATTAAGATTGAGTCTCTTCCCTCATTCTTCCTTTCTCCCCTACTCTTTCTGAGAAATGTCTACCTTACAAAAAAAGGCAACATTTGGAGCCCCTCCTACATGACTCAGAACCTTCATCATTTTGGTTTGGGGAGCAGGAAAATTGAGGTCGATTTTGGTAGTGATTATGTATTACCAAAGTTTGAACGCCTTGACTACAATATTAGTGAGAGGATAACCAGGTCATTTTAGTTAAATGAAGTGGAAAATGATGAGTGGATGTAATGTTTCCTGGTACCGATCCAAAGAGACAAAGCAGGTGGTGGTATAGTTCATCACATCTAAAAACAGTAATGCATGTTGGCCCCCTCCACCTCACCAAAGGCGTCTCTGCTTTACATTGAGGAGAGGTGACAGGACCATCTTCATCCCATCCCCTACCAACCCCAAGTTGGCTTAGGTTGTAGAGAAGAAAGTTCTTATTTCAGAAATAAAAAGCCTCTGGTCCTGCTCTTTTCTCAGGGTGTCTACCACCTCCACATATCCACCACGGTACTTATAACAAAATGGATAAGGAATTCTTTGAAACTGAAGAGAAAGTGTCCTACAGCTGTGAGCCTGGCTACACTCTCATTGGCACTAACCCTATATGGTGTACATCCTTGGGAACCTGGAGCCATACAGCCCCCAATTGTGAAGGTGCTTAAAGCTCTATTCCATCTTAAGGGAACTCAACTGTTAACTGACTCTTAGTGTGCTAGCCTTGTCTCTCTTTTTTTCCCCTAGTGAAATCATGTGATGCCATCCCAAACCAACTTCTCAATGGCCAGGTGGTGGCTCCTCCTAATCTCCAGCTTGGGGCAGAGGTTTCTTTTGTTTGTGATGAGGGGTGAGTGTGAGGTGACAGGACCTGAACTGAGACCATGACTCATAGCTAAGCATTGCAAAATGTAATTTGTAAAGACAGTTACGGTTTTTTCCCCTGTCTTAGCCTTTTTCCCTTTTATAATTAAGAATTCTCATTCTCTTATTAACCACACCCTACTGGTTTTCTTCAAGTGTACGTATTGTGCATGGCCAGCCCAAACTGGGAATTACCCACTTATCAATTGAAAAAGCAAAGTTTGGGGTCACAATTTAAGGCCCCTCTTTTGGAGATGAATAGATAATAGGGGTTTAGTAAGAGGGGCTCTTTGGGTGAACTTAGGGAACAAGATCTTTGATGTCTTCTTTACTTTGAACATGAGGTTGTTTTCATTCTACATGGTCAAGAGAATCTTGACATTTGGATACCAAAGAGAAAAAGAATTTTTTATTTAAAAAAATATGTGATTGTTAGGATATTTTTCTCTGTGTTTTCACCTGGTCTGAAGTCTTCACCTGGTCTGATGTTGGACTTTTTCCTTAATGCTGGACTTTTTTCCTTAACCCTTAAATGCTGAAAATAATAGAGCTAATTTATACCACTTACTTGAGAGAAGTGATTAAGTCCATGCAACTGAGAACTGGTTTGTTCTGATGATGATTTGCTGCCCCTTATTGTTTAAGGTACCGTTTAAATGGCAAATCTTCTAGTCAGTGTGTCTCTGAAGGAATGAGAGTACTCTGGAATAATAAGTTTCCTGTCTGTGAACGTGAGTAGAAGCGAAAATAAGTACGAATCTTGCCTCTTGAATTTTGGTGTGTTCTCGTGCATTTATCTCTTATAACATCTTATCCATATGTGTACTTTGAACATGTACATGCCACTCTTCGGGATGTTCTACCATGCAGACCAAAACTGAATTTATTCAGTTGACTTCATATCAAGTCTTCTATTTATATTAAGGTAAACGCTCTTATCCCACTGGAACCGAGCAGCACTGCTGTGCTGGAATGGTGTGGTGTGTGTTCCTATCCTAGTACCTCTCGTGATGAGAAGGTCTTGGAGCTAAATGGAAATCAGCCAGCCATTCTGGAGGTTGGCACTTTTCCCTTTGTTCTGAGACTCACTCAGGAAAGGTGTGCATATACCAACACAGCTATAAATAATTAACAATATGACAAGTATCTTAAAAATATGAGGTCATTCTTCCAAACTCTTGATCACTTCCTGTGGCTTTTTCAAAGGGATTCAGCATCAAAGGGTGACAAATGACTGTAGTGAGGCTGCAGTCCCTTTCGTAGAAGAGAATAATGTGCTTTCACCACTTGTAGCCCCCACTGTGTGTTTGAAATAGACATCCGATAATTTGTACATTTCAGGTATTGTTCTTGTTCCTTTCAGGTACTTGCATCTCTCTGGGTTCTCATTTCAACCTTATGAAGTAGCTTAATTTATACAATAGACTGGGAAACTGAGGCTTAGAGAGGGTAAGACTTGCCTAAGGTCACTCAGCTATTCAATGACAGTGGGAATTTGAGACCAGGTCTGAGTCCATATTTCATTAGTCCATGGTACCTCCCCACATGTGATTAGCATGTTATTAACATATTATTTTCACAACTGTTTGCCTTTAGTTTTATTAAAATTGATTAGACTCAGAATTATTTAATAAATTCTCTTTCATTGTCATTGTTCGATCAAGATGGTACTTTTAAGCCCTATATTGATTTGTTTGCTGAGCAGCAAAAGAAAGGTAAGAATTTAGGAGCTTGGGGATAAGTAGGGACTCTGAGTCCCTAAGAAATAAATTATACAGATTTCTAAGTCTGTTTCTGATAAGGTGACATAAACTATACTTGGAGCTCTAATCTACATCTGAATCTTTTTCTTGTCATAATCAATATCACCACATATTTCCTTTTCTATTTTTCAGGGATTTTTTGTGATCCTCCTCCTCCTATCCAAAATGGTTGGAATAGTTATGCTTCTGGCTCCGTACCTCTTAACACTTTGGTGAGGTACACTTGTCCCCCTAGCTACCGCATCATTGGAGAAAAGAATCTTTTTTGTATAAGTAAAGACCAAGTGAAAGGAATCTGGGATAAACCTGCCCCTACATGTGAATATTACAGCAGAAGATCTACTTGCTCTGAGCCTGTAGTACCAGGGGGACACAAAGACAAAAGATCTAGACCACCATACAGACATGGTGATTCTGTGACCTTTACCTGTGATGCCAACTTCACCATGAAAGGAAACAAGACCGTTTGGTGCCAAGCAAATAGAAGGTGGGGGCCGACACCACTACCAACCTGTGAGAGTGGTGAGTAAGAGAGAAACTCAACCTGAATCGGGAGGGTGGACCATTGCATTTCTCTGCAGATAACGTTTTGTAGCATTGTGAACAAAGAACAGTGTCGATGTGTAAAGGGTAGGGGTGAAGGGGGAAGCATGGCAAAGGGTGAAAATTATTGTTCCCTGTTTTAGTTTTAGTTTTTGTCACCAAGGGCATGGATGTTCATTTAACAAACATCAATAGAACAGAAAATTTTAAAGTATGATGAGAAAAAGTAATTGAACACACCTAATAATTGAACTGAATGAGTCTCACAAGATGAGACTTTGATGGTGCTGTGTGAATTGTGTGGTTTTAAACAACTTATATGAGTTAATGTTAAAATAAGAATAAATATACCCAATGTTTTAGAACCCACCTGTAAATAGATGTTAATACAGTCTGGCAGAAATGATTCCTGTTCTATGAGACATCTATAAACACTTTCTGAAGTGATGCACTACTTTTCCAAGTCATCTCCTCAGACATAACATTTCAAATCAAATGACTTTGAAAGTAAGGATTACTATAAGTTCTTCATTTATTTTATTTTTATTTATTTTTTATTTTTAAAAAAATATATTTTATTGATTTTTCACAGAGAGGAAGGGAGAGGGATAGAGAGTTAGAAACATTGATGAGAGAGAAACATCGATTAGCTGCCCTCTGCACACCTCCCACTGGGGATGTGCCCAAAACCAAGGTACATATCCTTAACCGGAATCAAACCTGGGACCCTTCAGTCCTCAGGCCGACGCTCTATCCACTGAGCCAAACCAGTCAGGGCTCTTCATTTATTTTTTACTGAGGTTTATGTTGTTGCAGAAATCTAAATCTGAATTTTAATTGTACAATTACAGGGACTGTCATATTTGACAACCTATTATAATAAAAAGTAGGTATTTCTTTTCTTAGTGAAGAACAATATCAATTGATTCTAAATCAACCAAGCTGAAAAACTATTAGAAAAATATGATTCTATGTATTTGTAGATAGATATATAATCTTGGAGGTAAGGAAGGTTTGAAGATAGCCACAATATGAGTGACTATAGAAAATAAGCCATTATAAAGATTTAGGTTGACCTATATGTATTGACATGAGAAGATAACATAAGCAGATTATTAAGCAAAGAAAGAAAGATGTAGAATAAGATGTGAGTACACATATACTCACCCAATATGTATGTATATATGTAACACATATGGGATTCTATAAAACTATATTACTAATAACTAGCAGGATAACCCCTTAATAACATGTGACTTTTGGACCAGAGAATAGGCTTAAGGATAGGATGAGAGTATTTGTAAAAATGGACGATTTTTTTGGTAAATGAAAAACTTCACAAAATCATAAAGAGTAACTAAAAATAGAAAATAAGGAACTATATGGTGTATAAAATGGATATTACATCACACTTGTTTTAAAGAATGAGTTGAAAATTCATGATGACTGGTTACCACAGATAATGTGCCATTTAGCTGGATGAATGTACTATGTCAAAATCTAGATTGTGAAGGATGTATCATCTGATGGCCTTTTGTTCTAATGTGTGTGTGTAAAGATTTCTCCCTGGAGTGTCCACCACTTCCCATGATCCCCAATGGACATCACACAGCAGAGAATGTCGGCCTCTTTGTCCCTGGACTGTCTGTGACTTACAGCTGTGAACCTGGCTACTTGCTTGTTGGAGAAACGACCATTCGTTGTTTGTCTTCAGGAGACTGGAGTGCAGTCATTCCACAATGTAAAGGTACCCCAAATTTACAAGCAGTTTTCAGAAATTAGGCTATTCTGTTATTTGGCTTTGCTTTGTGCATCTTTGGCTTGTTTCCACAGAGGCCCAGTGTGACGCTCCAGGAACATTGCTCAATGGCCAGATAAAGGGGCCTGCAAGTCGTCGAGTTGGCGTAACTATAACCTTTTCCTGTAATGAAGGGTGAGTGTCTGGAGGACCTAGGAGATTTAATTCATTGGGCTTCTCCATGCGTAGTATGACCTGTGAAGGCTCCTCTGTGAGGATCTGTGGAGAGCCGTGGGTGAGGTTATGAGAAATAATGCTAATAAGAGTCGGTGCACACAAATTAAATGAGTTTGTATTTAAGTAGAGGTTATTAATCCATATCACCAACTGTCTAATAGTTCTGAATGACCACCCTCTGTCTCCAGATATCGATTACGAGGCCAACCTTCTAGTCAGTGTGTAATTGCTGGAGAGAGAGCTTTATGGACCAAGATGCCAAAATGTGAAGGTAGGTTATGCAAACTGTGGTTTGAACCTAGTTACTTATCTGAGGCTCAACAGAGCACTGAATTCTTTCAACTAAAAGATGTTGATTCAGTCATTACTATACAGAACATTATAGAGCAAATATCTCTCCGAGACATCTTTAAGGGTTATAACAGAAGCATCCTTCAGTTACCTCTCTATTCTCTGCTTATTCGAGTAAAACAGGCTTCCTAGGCTTTTCTTTCTCTAAATCTAAGTAGACTTGTAAGCCAGGCCATGCACATAAATGAGAGGGCATATTCAGTAACAGAAATCCAAGGATCAGCAAGATATATTTTTTCAATAACATTGTTACCAGAGGCCTGGTGCACGAATTTGTGCATGGGTGGGGTCCCTAGGCCTGGCTGGCAATCGGGGCCGATCGGGGCTGTCTCACCCAGTCCCAATCAGGGCCTCCTGGCCAGGGGGAGAGATGGGGGAGGGACTGCCGAAGGTTGGCCAGCCACGGGGAGGGACAGGAGGAAGTTGGCCAGCCACGAGAGGTTGGCTGTGGGAATGCACTGACCACCAGGGGGCAGTTGAATCATAGCGACCGGTCATTCTGGTCATTCGGTTGTTCAGTCATAACGTCCACTTAGGCTTTTATATAGAGAGATAGCTGCCTTGATGGTTCATCAGCGATTCAAATATCCTAGGACCCTGAACCTAGGAGATGAGAGTGGCATCAAGTCTGAGGCTTTCTTATGTGTAGTACAGCTACAATCTTGTCATTTCTCTCTCATTTCTCTAGAAATCCTTTGCCCACCACCTCCTAATATTCTCAATGGAAGGCATACAGGCCACCCTTCAGTGAACGTTCCATACGGAAGCACAGTCACTTACACTTGTGACCCGGGGCCAGAGAGAGGAGTGGACTTCATCCTGATTGGGAAGGACACTATCCGTTGCACCACTGATAGTCAGAAGACTGGGATCTGGAGTGGTCCTGCCCCGCGCTGCGAACTTTCTACTCCTGGAATTCACTGTCCACCTCCCCAGATCCTAAGAGGCCAAATATCGTCTGGGCAGAAAGATCAATATTCATATAATGATACTGTGGCATTTGGTTGCTTGTTGGGCTTCACCTTGAAAGGTAGCAAGAGAATAAGGTGCAGTGCCCAAGGCACATGGGAGCCCTCTGCACCAGTCTGTGAAAAGGGTGAGTGTTCCAGGACCAAGAAAACGTTCTACTGATTTCGTCTTTTCTAAGAATTATAGGTAGGGATTTGGGGTGTAAGCAGGTTATTTTTCAGTTTGTATAGTGTTTATAAATTATGTAAAGGCTTTTTACACACTACACCCATCGTTTGTTCATTTTGTAGAAGTGTCCTGGGGAAAAATAACATTAGGAACCACTAAGTTGCCCATTTCTTTATGGGGAAAATGTGTATTTGTGTTAATACTGATTTCTTAAAAGGGAGGTCATCAAAGCCCCCATTCCATGGGTATATGAGAATCTCCCATTGAGAGCATACGAGGTGATTCCTTAAGAAAGGAAGAAATGAGAGGAGGTAAAGCACCGAGTGGAAACTGAACAAAATCTGCAGTAGCCTAAGTGCAAAGAAGAGGGAAAGATCGAGAAACACTGATCCAAAATTACCCCAAGCTGGGCTGTAAGATACCTTCTGCATCATACAGCTGCCACCAGAGAGGAATTACAGCGTTAATACCCATTTCTTTGGCTGTTTCTCCATGTTGCTGTTGTTTAGACAATAAAATTTTTTTCTTTCTTGTAGCGTGCCAAGCCCCTCCTGAAATCCTCAATGGGCAAAAGGAAGATAGACATAGGATGCGCTTTGAGCCTGGAACATCCATAAAATACAGCTGTGACCCTGGCTATGTGCTGGTGGGCGAAGAATCCATACATTGCACCTCTGACGGGGTGTGGACACCCACTGTCCCCAAATGCAAAGGTATCAGGACTTGCATGCAGATGTTTTGTAGTTTTGAGATTGCTTGAGTTGATTTCTCATCCTCGTCTCTTCTTCTTAGTGGCAGAGTGTGAACCTATAGGAAAGTATCTCTACAAAAAACCCCAAAATCGAGTGATTAGACCAGATGTTGACTCTTCTTGCGATGAAGGGTAAGTGAGTGCTGGCTCAGCCTGAACTGGGTCTGGCTTATCAGCGCATACTGCAAGCTCTGTAAGAGTTTACCTCAAAGACCCTTCCCTGGCCCGTGTCCATGGAAGTGCTAATCTTGCTAGTTTTCCATGTATGGGAACTACTCCTGTGCAATGATGGAGCTGATGCTGGCTGCATTCTGTTCGTATTGCTTCTTGTCCTGAACGTGGTGAGTCTGCTTTTGAGCCAATAGCGCTTGCTTAGTTTAATGGTCACTAGACGGCAAAATGACACGACTCTATCTCTAGGTCCAGGTTAGGTGAGAGTGTTTATCAGCTGTGTCAAGGCACCATTCCTTGGTTTATGGAGATTCGTCTTTGTATAGGTGAGTGACACCTATGTGTGCCCTGGGAGATTTCTCTTTTAGGCTATGTTGTGGGAATAGAAATATTACTCTCTGTTTCATTAACTTTGTCAACAGTTTTTCTGTCTTTGTACTGTCATCTCTATCCACTTCGAAGCATAGCAAGCACCTAATTTAAATGTGTTCTGTCACTGATGCTCTTTTGTAATTTAAGTGTATAAGATGATGAAAGCAGCGAGTATATGAGCCACCATGTTTAATTTGGGGTAAGCTGTAGTTTGGGGAGAAAAAGGAGATTGGTGTGGGATCTAATCTCTTATTCTGTATCTATGGCTTCATATGATCTTGGGTGATTTATGTAACTTCTTTGAAATTCTATCCCCTCATCTATAAATTTAGCATAAGATTACAGACTTTAAAGTTATTTTACCTACATGGTATTATCTCTACTTTTTAAATGATAAAACTGTGTGTCAATAAGTAGATACTCAATCAACAATAAGTATTCTTGACTCAACTATCAAATAACTTCCGCACAAGGATGAAACTCAAAAAAAAAGGCTTAATTCTATGCCCCTGTACCTTTTATTCGTCTATTATTTATTTAAAAAAGAATTCTTGTTTTAATTAATAATTTACTACAGGCCTTTACTCCCTCACTATATGATATTGATGTACATGTTCACTTGTGAACTTTGATATAACTCATATCATCAAAACTCACCCATATCCTCCAGGAAATTTGATAACAACAGATTCATAGCCAACTTCCTTTCTCTTCTTTGGTGTTTAAAACTGAAACAGAATTATATGGTCACTTCTCATCTCTCCAGAAATCACCTGCCCACCACCCCCTGTCATCGACAATGGGGCACACACAGGGAGTTCCTCAGAAGACTTTCCATATGGAACCACAGTCACTTATTCCTGTAACCCTGGGCCAGAGAAAGGCGTAGAATTCAACCTCATCGGGGAGAGCACCATCCGTTGTACAAAAGATGGTCAGGAGAGGGGCATCTGGAGTGGCCCTGCTCCTCTCTGTAAACTTTCCCTCCCTGCTATTCAGTGCTCACATGCCTACATTGAAAATGGATACCAGATATCGGGCAAGGAAGCCCCATATGTCTACAACGACAGTGTGACATTCAAGTGTGTTGATGGATTTACTTTGAAGGGCAGCAGTGAGATTCGTTGCAAAGCCAATGACACCTGGGATCCTGAAATACCCGTTTGTGAGAAAGGTAAACAGCCCAATGGGGGGAAAATAAGGTATTTACTTACTATTCTCATCTCCCACCCAAAACTACACTCATGGAAAAAGTCAATGGGGCACAGATTACTATCCTATTGTTTTGATCTGTAACAATGTTCTATGTGTGTTGTATATGTTCCTTGTGTGAATGTCTCTTGTATCCAGAATATATTCAAGGTGGATACTGAGAGGACCTGTTTAAAGAAGTCTAGTTCTTTCAAATGAGCAGAAAGCATTCAGTAATGAATTAGAGCTTTATTATCCTTGGCTAAGATGTTTAAGATTATCTGTTGTCAAATGTTGTACTCTTAATGTTCTTGAGTATAAGTTCTTCTTTTGTTGGTATTTATGTGGGAAGTTTTTCCTTCAGACTGCCAGCCACCTTCGGGGCTGCACCACGGTCGGCATACAGGCGGAAATAGGGTCCTCTTTGTCTCTGGGATGACTGTAGACTACACCTGTGACCCTGGCTACTCGCTTGTGGGAAACAAATCCATTCACTGTATGCCTTCCGGAAATTGGAGTCCTTCTGCCCCTCGGTGTGAAGGTACTTTAGCTCCAGAGTTGCCTTCCCTTTGATAGCAAGCATGTGTGAGTAATTCCAGCTGTGCTCCTCCAGAAGCAACATGTGAGCCCGCGGGAGAAGATGTTCAAGAGCTTCCAGCTGATTCGCATGTGATTCTGGTTAATACATCCTGTCAAGATGGGTGAGTATGAGATGATCCATCCAGAGCGGGTCCCCACTTGGTTTAGTGCATTAGTTGCACCCTCAGCTTGTCTTGGTGACTCTTTTTGCGGCTCCTCATTGCCACTCACAGAGAATATGAGGTTCCAAAAGTCTAAGTAGCATCTCTGACTTGTTAGTTCTTCTTTGACATGGAAATAGCTTTGCCGTGAGCAACTCTCATCTAAAAAAGTCTGCTTACTGGGAGGGTCAAGGGTTTTCATTCCTCTGTACCGAAGTTCTTGTGTAGGAGTTCCTCTGTATTTGTGGTATGAGGAGGTGAGGTTTCAGAGACGTGATATTGGGAAAAAGAAATGTGTGATAATCTCTCTCTAGGTACCAGCTGACTGGGCATACTTATCAGAAGTGTGAAGATGCTGAGACTGGGGTTCGGTTCCAAAGGATTCCACTCTGTGAAGGTAAGAGAAAAATTAAAGTTATAAGTGAGGTGGTTGGGAGTTAGAAATGGCAGGCCACTTAAGAAGTAGCTTATAACTACTTCAACTATCTGTTTTCTATCTCAATGTACCTGAGATAAGAAATATCTTTCACAGTTTAGTCAGCACTGTCATTGACAAGTAAAGTTGTCAAGTAGAAACTATATATTTGGCATATATCTGCTAATTATATAATATATACATATAGGTGTATTTATAGACTATATAAATATATAGTCATATTTCTAGTTTTTATTAATATAGTTGTATTTCTTTCTTATTACTTTATTGTATTTTTAAAATTTGGGGGATGAATATGTATTACTCATATAATCAGAAATGTTAATAAAGCTGTTTTGATGAGAACAATGCAGGTTGTAAAGCTAAATAACTGTATGGTATGTGTCATAATGCAGTCACATAGTTTTATTTGCATCCGAATGACGACTGTCCGCCTTGGTACACTAGCTGAAGCAGCATTTCCCGAATCTCTTCTGCAGCCATTCACTGTCCACCTCCACCAGTGATTGACAACGGGAGGCACACAGGTGTGATGGCAAAACAGTTTCTTTATGGAATTGAAATCTCTTATGAATGTGACCAAGGATTCTCTCTTCTGGGAGAGAGAAACATCCGATGCATAAGTGATTCTGAAGGACATGGATCTTGGAGTGCACCTCCCCCACGGTGCTTAAAACCTCCTCCTGTGGCCCACTGCCCTCACCCAGAAGTCAAACATGGATACACGCTGAATAAAGCTCGTTCTTCATATTCCCACAATGACATTGTATATGTTGCCTGCAACCAGGGTTTCATCATGAATGGCAGTGACTTGATTAGGTGCCATACCAATAACAAATGGGTGCCAGGTGTACCAACGTGTATCAAAAAGGGTAAGTTATTTTAAGAAGTTAACTATGGGATGTTGCTTAGAATAAGGAAATGTTTTTTGAATCTGCATTTGCCATTTGAGCTAAAGAAAAAGATGTAAATGTTAAAACAACGATAGTGTTTTCCAAGATACCTGCCTTATCCTCTCAGTGAATTCTCCCCCTCACCCCCCCACTTCCTTACTAAGTCAGTTGAGCAAAAGTACATGAAAGGATTATGGTTAACTTCCAAAGTGATGGCTTCTACAAAACTTATTATTTTTCTTAAATTAGAATAATAAAAATTCACTTATCATTTTGGGGGGTAAATGTTGGCAGTAATATCGCTTGATAATTTTATATTTAAGGCTATAATACCAGTTAGAAAGAGAACTTTTGGTGTTCGGAGGCATGAAGCTGGCCTTCAGACCCAGTGAATTGTCTTTCTTGTCATTTTAGTTATCATTCATCAGTTATATTCCTGTCAATGACTAGGTGACCATGTACAACAGGGACTGTCAATTAATGACCCAAGAACTGAATTCAGCTCACCAGAACTGTTCTCTTTGGCCAACACAGTAGTCTCTCTTTACGTGAAACCCATATCCAAGCCCAAGATCAATGTTGAACCTGTGATTCAGTGAGGGCCCCCGTCTGCTTTCCTGCAAGGCAACAGTTGCTTGAATTGGGCTTTGGCTGTCATTTGTAGAAGGGCACATTCTTTCCCCTTTGTCATATCTGGTGGCTTCACTCCATGGCTACTTGGGTGACCCTTAGAGTACAAGCTTTCTGCTATTTAAAAGGAAAATGAAAGAATACTATTGGCTGATAGAGTACAATTGTGGGCTGCAACCATTGAGGTTTCATTATCTTACTTTTGACATTTTTCTTCAGGTCATATACCCCATATGTAGGCAGTGGAAATCTCTGGCCAGTACTGCTGGGTTTGTGTGGAATGGGTATTACTAGATACCAATTGGTTGGCTTGTTGCCTGCATTCTTCCTATATGGCCATCACTCACAGATAGTGTTGACTATGTGTTCCTCTGTACTAAATTAAAGACCCTTTTTTATTGGTGTTTAAGCCTTCGTAGGATGTCAACCTCCATTTAAGATGTCCAATGGGAATCATACTGGTGGCGAGAGAGCTCGATTTTCTCCTGGAATGTCAATCGTGTACCGCTGTGACGAAGGCTACCTGCTGGTGGGAGAGGCACTCCTTATTTGCACACACGAGGGCACCTGGAGCCACCCTGCCCCTTTTTGTAAAGGTGCATTATTTATTTTTTTAACTCAGATTTGTCCCAAATAAATATATGCAGTTAGGTACTTTCAATTTAAAGTCACCAAATAAATGCCTCAGTTAGATAATTTAATTAGATGTATTTCCTAGGATTAATACATGTAGTTGATCTAAATACCACAGAATAAGAAAAATGACTTAGAGTGTAGTCTCTGTTGAGTGATCACTTATGAAGTCATTTAAATATAGAAAATTGAAATGCTTATGTAAATTAAACAACCAAAGTGTAGATTGAAGTTACACAGTGATTGTAGTTATTATAAGTATGCATCTGGCAAAATACTAATGAAAAAGCACAATGATTTTTTTCAATGTATTTCCTTTGAGTGATGGTAGGATTATGGGTATATTTTTTATGTTTCATTAAGCATATGGAATATGAGAATTGAGTTAATATGTAATATTTGTTGAGCACTTTTGGCTGTATGTCTGATACTGTGCACTGCATTTTGAGTGCATTGTCATTTAATCTTTTTGAGAACCATATGAAGGTGGTGCCATTATTATTCCCATATTAGAGATGAAGTCTCAGTAGAATGAAGAGATTTATAACTTTTCCAAGGTCACACATTAGGAAGTCCTAGAGTCAGGATTCATCTCCAAAATCTCACAGGACTGACCCCTACACTGAAGAGATGAAAGAAGAAAAGAGGAAGTATGTACGTGTATGAAGAATTGGAGAGTAAGAGTCGGTACTGATAAAACAGTAATTTAGAATTTGTACCCATTTAGCCCTAACAAGTCATTAACATTAACCAGCTATTAGTTAGAAACTAAAGCAAAAGGAAGGAAAACAACCAGGCTTAACTTACCTAGAGGTTATTGAAATAGATGGCTGACACTGAAAAACTCTACCTAGGTTATCATTTGTTATTTCAAGAAAGCTTTATTTACTGAGAATTAACTAAGTTAATGGATTCATAGAACTTTCCATTAAGAGCAGTGTCTACCTCATGGGTAAATTAGATTCCTTTCATTTCAGAAGTAAACTGTAGCTCCCCAGAGTATATGAATGGAATCCAGAAGGGGCTGGAGTCTGGGAAAAAGTACCAGCATGGAGCAGTTGTTAATTTGGAGTGTGAAGAGGGATATACCCTGGAAGGCAGTCCCCAGAGCCAGTGCCTGGAGGATCACGGATGGAACCCTCCCCTGGCTGTTTGCAAATCACAAGGTAAGTACAAGGGACTTTGCTGATACTTGTCTCACTAGAGAAAGACAGTAAGGGGTATCCCTCAGTGTTAAGGACTCCTGGATTTTAAATTGACATAGGCCTGTAACCAGTGATATGATAGATTTGAAGTAGGTTGTCTAATCTAGAAGAAGCAGAACTTTCTGAGGATGAGGGAAGTAAAGAAAGAAAGTAGAGGAACACTAACTTAAAAGGTGCAAAGCTAACATTACATTTTGTAAGAAGTTGCTGCTGAGACTTCCCTTATTGCTATATCTTGGTTTCTCAGTTCTTAACAATTTGACAGGGGCCTCAAAAATATGTTAACAAACCAGTTATAACACTTAATATTTGCATTCTAACCCGAGAAATCCCTGGTTACACTGAGCATATTGGTTTTTTATTTGGTGAACTACTCCAACTTAATTAAAGTGAAAATATTTTTAAAGTCCAATGAGTTGTTACATAAAAAATGAAGGAAGAGTGGGTAGACTTAAGGTTCCAATTAATATTTTTTCATAGAATTAGAGAGATAGGAGTGATAACTTTGAGAGAATGCTAACTTCAGACATTGCCATGGGTCTTTGGACTTCATTGAATCATGCAACTAGACTAATATGTTCATGATTTTGGATTCTTTTTAGGCTCACTCACTCCTCTTGTTGGTGGTAAGTTCTCTTAATTACTTAAAAAAATGTTCTAATGATCTTTTTTAAATAAACTTTTAAAACTTTTATACTTTGAAATAATTTCAAACTTAAAGAAAAGTTACAAAAATATTGTAATAAAAGCTCTGATATATAATTTAACTATATTTACCAATTGTGTATATTTTGCTACATTTGCTTTAATCCATTTATATCTCTCTACCTACGTATATCCAACACATTATTATTATCGTTGCAAAACAATTTGAGATTCAGACCCTTTACACCTAAATACTTTAGAGGGTAGTATCTCTGTTATCATGAATTTGATTAAATGATATTTTATAAAAATTTATATAAAATGTGAGGTCTTGTATCCTGCCTGAGTATTAGTAATTTTTTTTCTTTAACTCATAAGAAATTCACCTTTTTTGGTGTTTGTGGAATTTTTAATGTGCCCTTCACATTACAAACTGTCACTTTTGGGTAGAGTTGTATAAATAATTAGAACAGCCAGCTATTCTCAGTTTTTAAGTTGAAAGTTTAGTTTACATTAAATCTTAGTCTTTAGCATGATTTGGCATTATCAGAATAGACTGGCTTATTTTACAGTAGAAAAACTATTTCACAACTGACAGTCAGATGTTATACACAATTGTGGGATCTGGCCTTCTGAGCACCTAATTTTACCCCAGTGACTGGAATATTACTACTAAAACTGAAAGGAACAGAAAAGCTCCACAGAGCTTGACTGGGACCCTGTCGTCAAATGCTTGGTGCTTTAGATGAAATGTGGACTAGACTGAATCAGAAAAACCTTAAGCCCACGTATCATTATTTAGGAATTCAACATTACATGGCTCAGAAAGGATAAGTATAAAAGTAACATACCATATTCCCCTCCACTAGGACTAGGCCCCACAATCACTTCTAAACGGTATAGGTCACATTTTTCTGGCATTTGATACTTGCTGTTTTATTTTCTAGGCCTTTCTGTAGGTTTGCTATTTCTTCTCTTCTTGACTGCTGTCACCTTATACCTGATACCCAAACACAGAAAACGGTAAGTTCAATGCGTGCTTGACCAAAATTCACTAAGGTTTCAGCTTCTTGCCTGAAACTAAACATGGAAGTACAAGTTACCTGAAAGGAGTATAGCAATGTGAGAACTGGGATGTGGCATTTTATGCAACATACGGGAAGCCCTATCTGGCAGATCTTAAATGATATCGGGCGCGTATTTAAATCATATGTAATCAGATGACTCATCACAAAAATTCTAGAAAACAGAAAGACAAAAATCCTAGTGGAAACAAATGCAGGTATTTTGGTATATTCCATCTGATCTTTTTCTTACATTCTTTTTTCTTTTAAAATTGAGATTTTGGCCCTAACCGGTTTGGCTCAGTGGATAGAGCGTCGGCCTGCGGACTGAAGGGTCCCAGGTTCGATTCCGGTCAAGGGCATGTACCTGGGTTGCTGGCACATCCCCAGTATGGAGTTTGCAGGAGGCAGCTGATCGATGTTTCTCTCCCATCGATGTTTCTAACTATCTATCTATCTCCCTTCCTCTCTGTAAAAAATCAATAAAATATATTTTAAAAATAAATAAATAAAATAAAATTGAGATTTTGACATTATAATCTCCTGCCTTAATTTTTTTTTCATTTTGCGTATGTACATATTTTTGTGTCTTGAAATCATGCTTTCTTTTTAATTATATAATAGATTATTGTTCTGTTTCATGTATGTCTGTACTGTGGTAATTTTAGGTTGCTTCCACATTTATCTTGATAATAAAGATATGATGAACACCTTTAATAAACCTTTTCACATACATGTACTTATTTCCAGAGCATAGATTTCTAGAATTTCTAGGGATAAGTGTATGATGTTTTAAGACGCATAATAAATATTGCCAAATGACTTTCCAGAAAGTTTGTCCTAACTTGATCAAATATCAAATTATTAATATATCTGCATATTTTGTGTTTCTGGGCTCCTTTTTCTGCTTCATTTATCTATTTTATCAAAATCACTTTGTATTTAATAAGTATGGCTTTCTACTCTTATAATATTTGGTAGGGCAGGAATTCCCTCGCTATCACTTTTTTTTTTTTTTAGGGTTTTTCCCTCTATTCTCTTCTGTTTGTTCTTTCAGGTGATTTTAGATCATTTGTCATTTTCTAAAAACAGACATGTTGTGATTTCATTTAAGTCTATAGATTAATTTGTGAGAAATTGGCATCTTTTCTGTAAAGTCCTACAACAAAGAAGCCAGTTTCATGTTTTTTAACCCAATGTTCCCTAAACTAATTGGACTAAACAACTCTTTTTTTTTTCTTTCTCTCTCTCTCTCTCACATAATGCATTTAACAACTCATGGAACTACTGTTCCACTTAACAGACATTTGGGGAATCTAAGAAGGTGGTCAGGAGCTAGATCATCAAAAGCCTTCAGGCCGTAACGTGGAGTTAGGGTTTATCCTATAGGACCTGAAGCAAGAGAAAAATGTGTTCAGATTCATATTTTTAAGAGAAGGGGCAGGGTTGGGCCATCAGCCGAAGCAGCAGTGGCAGGGGTCCAGAGGATGGAGCAGATGCAGGACACATCTTCACTGTTGAGAGCCTAGGATTTCCAAGACTGAGTGTCGTGTGGAAAGGAGAGAGAAGGGGGCACAGAGAACGAGCCAAGTGGAAGGTCATTTGAGGTCCCAGTGTTTCACCAAAAGAGGGGAAGGGCAGGTTTGTGGGGAAAGATGGTGAGTTCCGTGCTGACCTTGCCACTTTGTGGCACTTGAGATGTAGGACTCAAGAGAGTGGCCTGAATTCAGATAGGTGATGTTTACATCACAACGGAAGCCTTGGCGCCAAAAAAAAACCTCAAAAGGTAAAAATAGGATGAAAACCAATCCCAGAACAGTAATGCTTAAGAGGCAGGAGGGGAAGGAACAGTCAGAAGTAGGAGGAAAGTTAGGAAACAGTTGTTTCACGCAATTCAAGGGAGAAAAAGGTCTCAAAAGAAAAAACAAACAAAAAACAACAGAGGGATGTCATTTGCATGCCTTTCCTCGCAGGAAGTTAGAAGATAATTTTAGCCAAGAATAATAACACATTTAAATAAGTAGAGAATGTGGGCTCTATCTCTTTCCTTCATGCTCCTTCCTAAATTTCCTATCAAGACATAGCATGTGTAGGAGAATATGCAACCTTTGGGAATGCTACAACCTGAAATAATTATGTTCATGATGATTATGAAGTTTATTAACATGATTACAACACATACTACTATTTAAGTGCCTCCACTGATAGGAACCAAATGTTTATATTAAACCAAATTCCTAAGCATCAACTTCTTGTTTTATTTCCATTTTCTAACCAAATTCAATTTATTGTTTTATAGTTGATACAGACATTTCACCTGCCTTAAGTACTTTTTGCAAATGAGATGAGTAATCACTTTACAATGGATGTCTTGTAACAAAATTAAATTTTTATAAAAGCCATCTAAACATTTGAAGGAGAAACTATTCTTTTCTAGGCATCTCAGATATTTTCATAAAATCTAAATGTTAAATTGACCTAAAATTACCATTTTATAACATTCTTAATGTATCTTCCTATAATCTGACCTCTAAAATAAGGTAGTTAGGGGAATGCTGTAAGTAACCCTAGAAGTAATCTTTGTTTCCCAGCAATTTTGTAATACATTATTTCAGAGTTCTACATGGTAGAATAATGACATTTTCTTGTCCTTTCCTAATTTCAGCAAAGTGGTTTTAGAAGCACAGCAAAGTATATGTGCTTTCAAAGAGGAAAAATAAAAATACCCACTTAAAATCATTTAAAGCTTTCAGTGGTATATGACTATGTATCAAACATCAAATATAAAATTTTCCTTTTAAGTTAGATTTGAAGATTATGTCCCCAAAAGGTAAACCTATGATGATGTCTCCCCCGCTAAAAAAAAACTTTGATTTTTTTTTTTCCCAAATGGGGGGTCATAGTTATTAGTCATTGAAGTCCTGGATCTAAAGTAAATCTGTGTAATGTCAACTTTTGACCGGGGCACTTAGCAACCTAGCAAGTCATTTATTTTTATGGCTCTTTCCAAAATTGGGGATTATAGCGATTATTTCTTTGGTTACTTAGGCAATAAAATAGCATCATCCATGAAAAGTACTTACCATGTGTTGGGAATTATGGAAAGAAAACAACTGTTACATCTTTGTAGTAATCATGGCCAATGAGTAAAGATTTTACTTTTTCCTCCTTCTTCCATTTAGCAATTATTATACAAATAAAAGCCCTACAGAAGGAGATCTTCGCTTAGAAACACGAGAAGTATATTCTATTGATCCATACAACCTAGCAAGCTAACCAGAAAATAAACAGGTATTTAATTAAAATAAATTGTTTTATTAATTTCCATGTCAAAATGTTATTCAAATTCTACTCATCAATAAGCACAGTGTGAAGTATTTACTGTTCTTTTGCAGTTTTTAAATCTTGCATAGAAATGAATATAATTAGATCATGTTGCCAATTAATATTCCTGTTATGTTTTATTCATTTATCCATTCAACAAATACTTAAATAGCAAAGTGAGTAAGAATAATATAAATAAGAAGATGGTAAGTAAAATATTATGAACACAAATAAAGCAGGAGAAGGGGATAGAGAGGGCAGGGTAGTTAGAAGGGAAGACCTCACTAGGAAAATGTCATTTGAGTGAAGATTGGAGTGAAGTAAGGAGCCAGCCATTGGGGGAAGAACATTGCAGGAAGAAAGAACAGTAAGTGCAAAGATCCTAAGGTGTGGTGTGCATGCAGTGGCCAGTGTGGCTCACTATGGGCTGGCCAAGGGAGAAAATGGCAGAGATGAAATCAGAGAGGGAAGGGGAGGAGGGGGAAGACGATCCATCATGTGGAGTGTGCTAGGTCATTGAATGAACTTGGTGTTTATTCTAAGCTGGGAACCATTGGAATGGTTAAGTGTAAAAGCTAATGGTCACCTTAACTGCTATGTTAAGAACAGAGTGTAAGACGCCAAGGGTGGAAAATAGGGAATCACTGAGGACTCCATCACAATTATCCAGGCTTACGCTGTGAGTGGCTACCACCAAGCTGGTGGGAAGAGGTCAGGTTCTGCATACATTTTTCTTACAGTGATCGGAGGATTTGCTGACAGTTTTAAATTAGATTTGGGTCATTAATTGGCAAAAGTAGCATTCAAGCTCAAATCTGACTTCAAATGGCTTTATCCTACATAATCTATAAAATAAAGATACCACCTCTGATCTCTTGGAACTTTTATAGTAAAATAAAAAATAAGACATACATAAGAATATATACCACTAGAGGCCTGGTGCACAAAATTTGTGCACTGTTCGTGGGGTCCCTCAGGCCAGCCTGTGCCCTCTTACAGTCCAGGAGCCCTCGGGGGCTGTCCCACAGGGAGCCGGCCTAAGCTGGCAGTCGGATAGCCTTAGTGCTGCCGCAGAGGCGGGAAAGGCTCCTGTCACTGCCACTGCACTCACCAGCCCTGAGCCCGGCTTCTGACTGAGCGGCACTCCCCCTGTGGGAGCGCACAGACCACCAGGGGGCAGCTCCTGCATTAAGCTCCTGCCCCCTGGTGGTCAGTGCGCATCATAGTGACCGGTCGTTCCACCGTTCGGTCTATTTGCATATTAGCCTTTTATTATATAGGATAAGCAAGATACAAAAAAAACTGCTGTGGCAGTGGAGCAAGAAAAGTTTATTTGCTGTTGGTGAGTCAGAAGAATGTGGTTGAGGAGAACAGGGGAGGCCAGAGTGATCTCTAAATCTAAACCTGTGGGGACCCAAAGTAAAGCTATTACATCAGTATTTATTCAATGAATGTGTGAATGAATGAGGATGAGACTATGGCTTGATGCTTTATTGGTTCTAGCACTTATAATTGGTCTATACAGAAAATGTTAACATTCCCATTATTTAAACTTTGACTCAAACCAATGCTATTCATGCTGCCTCCTAACCAGGAACTCTTATTTCAGAGTGCCTTCGTGCTTGGAATGCAGCTGAACACGGGTTGGAAAGAAACCATCTGAATATCAGCAAGCCTATCTGTATGGGCTCCACATCACCGAAATGATGCCTTAAGCTGTAACTTCCTATTTGCACTTATTCTCGAGCAGCACAAAGAACATTTGCTTGATGAGAAAGATGGGAGCCCAGTTTCACTGCCACCTGCTCTTCAAGGACTTTCTGAAGCCTCACCTGTGATGTGCCTGGAGCCAGGCTTTGGCTATAAGCAGTTACATACTAGTAGCTCTGAGGAGTCACCTTTCCTAGGAAGGCACTAAAGTGAACTGTTTTTATATGCAGACTCTTCTTTTTTTGTAATCAGCATTCTCAATTACCATATTCTTTTGGTTATAGTGTGGTTTTAATTAAGCAAAGTATGAAGCATTTCCTGTGGTTACGAGTCGCATAACTTTGTTGGGAAGTTTACTATAATAGTAGTTTTCTTCTCGGATATGATTAAATATTTCACTTCTTCACTTGGCCTGAATTTTTCTCACAATATATTGCCTTTGGTTATCGGGGTGTTTTTTATGGCAGAATTTATTGATTTATTTGCCTTTCCTCAATCACTCAGTAATTCTCATTTGCACAATTTTTTTTTAAGAGTCAAGTTTTAATTGTAACATTTTGGTGTACAATTTACACTTTGGGTGTTTCATAGGCAGTTTTATCAGAAGCTCTAGCTGCTTATAAAATGTCATTTAATAGTATGTACATTTGCTATTAAAATAAATTTTATCTTTAAAAAATGTGCCTTATAGGATATTTTTCTGGATTCAATGAATCCCTGAATACAGACATACTCAGGGTTTTAGAGTTTGTAATTTAACATGCATTCTAGGTGCCACCACCTTGTTTTTTTGGCCAAAGTCTTAAATCACAAATTTAATTCCCTCGTCCTCAAGAATTTCTCTTACATTTGTCCAACGATCAGCTTCCCCCCGTGCATCACCACACTCTTCTCTCTGGCCATTCTCTAAAGCCAGCTGTTGATTGTCTCTGTTCCAGCATTTAATCTATTGAGAAAATAAAATCCTGCTCATTGGCTACCAAAAATTATTCTCTCCATCTCCTCTCTGACTATATACGCTGTTTGGCATCTTTTTATAAATTGTGGTAAAAAGTATATAACAAAATTTTTCATCAGAATCCTTTTTTTTAAGTGTACAGTTCAGAAGTGTTAAGTATGTTTTTACATCGTTGTGCAATAGATCTCTAGAACTTTTCTGTGTTATCAAAATGAAATGCTATTTCCTTTAGACAAAAACTTTACATTCCCCCTTTCCTCCAGTCCCTGGCAACCACCATTTACTTTTTGTTCCTGTGAATTTAACTAATTGAGGTACTTCATATAGGTGGAACCATACAGTATTTTCCTTTTGTGACACATGTATTTCACTTAGCATGTTGTCCTCAGGGTTCATCCCTATTGCAATATGTGCCAGAATGTACTTTCTTTTTCAGGCTAGATAGATCATTGCATGTATATATATTTTGTTTATCCATTTATTTGTCAATGAACATTTGGCTTGTTGTCACCTCATGGCTGTTGGAAATAACACTACTTAGAATACAGGTGTGCAGCAAATATCTCCTGAAGACATTGCTTTCAGATCGGTTGGATGTATACCCAGAAGTGAGATGTTGTTCAACATATATTATTCATTCACAGTGCCATTTTCATTTCTCCACATTATCTGTTCATGCACTTCAGGCCATCTGCTCCCTTTTATCATCATCCCTATTATCCATCTTTCACTTAGCAGATGAAAACATCACAGTGTATCTCTCTCAATTTCCTCTCCTTCCACCTCTAAGCTTATCTATATCCATTCATCAATTCCACTGACCACATTCACAGACTACACTGTTCTC